ACAACAGCGTGACTCGTGTCTCGGAAGCGTATGTATTATTCGCATTCGCATTCCGAAGAAAACATTTACTGCCATAAGAAAGACAGTATTAACTAAGTTTTCTCATGCTCTGAATAATTGTATTTGGAAAGAATTACTTCGAGAAAGAAAAATGATGCATTCTTTTGTGAAATAGGTTAACTAGTTTGTCGTTTCCAGCTGCTATCATAACAGGACGACGTCCGCCAATTTCAACGTATTTGTCTTATGCCATTAAAATTACACGTTTGCGTTTATTTTAGGTGTAGAAATAAAAACAAAATGGCGAATAAAAATTTCTAATTAAGCTAGAGTTATAAATGTATGAATATAAGGGTAGTATCAACAGGTTGATCAACTTCGCCTGAAAAATTAAAGAACAGCGATTTTGTACGTGTAAGAACAGTATAAAAGTGGGGCTATCTATCGTCTGTCTTATCACTACTACAAGGAAGTCTGGCGACCCGTTTATTAGAAACATGCGTTGCAATGTTTAGCCGTTACGCGGTAAACCGCGAATTTTTTTTTTTATAAAATGTCGGACCGTAACGCGACACCTGCCAGAGTAAATTCACTTACAAAAACTTTACAATGTAAGAAAGGCTTATGTAAACGATCTGCTTTCTTAATTATGGCGCTTGCAGTTTGTATGATCGAACACGGATGAAATTTTACAATACGTAATTTAGAATTACTTCGAAATTTTTATTTCTTATTATCATTTTTTCATCGATTTAATTTGGGATTGACTTTGAATTGAATGCAGCAACGATTCCATTTCTAAAAGTTAATCCGAGAATGGTACAGGAAACGCAATCTATTGCCATTTCCTCGAACTTATAACTGCCTAAGACGTTACCGACTGTACGAGTATCAAGTACACAATTAAATTATTCAATGTTATGTTTGATTGTTTAAATACAAACTTAGACAAATTGTATTTATGTTTTCAAAGATTGAAAAAATGCTATGTTCAATGAAATCGCACGAAATGTATCCTATAATGTTTCGACGAATAAAATGAATTAAATTTAGAGTTCAATTCATAAATTGTAAAATTTATATTGCACTAACTACAGTAGTGCATGAAAATATTGACATGCATTAGAATTAGTATGATATTAAATACAACGAAAGTGACTTGCCACAGACAACGCGTATGTACTTAACCCCTATCGCGTGATTGTGTTTATCGTTCAGATAAACACAAAGATAATGCAAATATTGTGTACATTTTTTTGTCATTCGCGTATGCTTGAATGAAGAAAACATTTGCTGCATTATATTACACATAAACACATCAAAATAATTTCGTTTTCCTGATTTGCCAAAACTGCCGGTGCAAAAAAGGATCAAGGATTGTCCGGTTATGACCGGTTCAAACTGACGCACGGTGCATAACAAAAAAAGTCAGCAACCAATAAGACGCTATTCCTTTATTTCCGTTGCTATTACCACAAATAATTATTTCTCATATATATTTTCAACGTAAATACTTTTTTCAATTATACAAATGACGAAAAATGGTAGTATGTACAGTATAATAAAATTTCTGTTCAGAAATTATTCAATCTTTTGTCGACATATTCGATGATAATTTTCAAGGATACATGTATTCTTCATTTTCATACGACGGATTTTGTTATTTTACTATTTCATTAAATACATAAAATGCCTAAACGATGAACCACCAACGATACAAAGGAAACAACTCCCATGCGATATTTGTGCGAATTACAGTAGAACGTGAATAGTAGCATGTCACTTACTTGCTAGATTTCTTTTTATCGTCGACGAATCCCTGGAAAGTTCCTGTGGACGTCATTTTCTTCCAAAGTTTGAAAACAAGAGACGAATATTTTTGCGGCAATCGTCACCCAGCTTTTGCGGCACACGAGACCCAAACACGACTCTTTCTTCTACCGAACGAAATCAAATAGGATTGCGAGACGGGATTGGTAGTCCGTGCCATAAGTTTTGACGTCAAATGGTTAGTCAAATCAGCATTTAAATTCCTGATTCTCAATCGTTTCTGTATAATCAAACAATTTCATATTCATTATTATACATCATCAATTACAACCTTTAAAAAACTATCTTTTAAAATGCGATTAAACAAAGGTTATCAATTTGATATGAAATACAAATATCCCCAACCATTATTAAGCTTATTTCATTGTCATATTTTGTAACCACTCTCGAGTTTAGAAATATTTGTAAATATTTAATTATAAATGCTAGTTACGACACTATTACTTTTTCGATAATAACACATTCATAATTATGATTTCTTATATTGCATTTCTGTTGTAAATACTCAGTACAAAACTACAATTTGAATTTATGACAAACGTATGTTATGATATTTTATTGAAATCGTACATAAAACATTTTTGGAATTCAATAACTGAAATTTATAATATGCTTATATATATTTCTCTTCGAAAAGAAGTTGGCTGAACTCACTCATGGGTCCAGCAGCCATGTTTGATTCTCATGACAAATACAAATGGAGTATCCAAAAAAAGTCTCACAACAGTTTACTTGCGTTTGTTACGATTCGATTGAACCAGATTGGTATGGTTGTCAATTAATTGATAAACATATCTGTATAAATGCTGCTAAACGTTAGAAAAGTTGTCACGGCATCTTCGAAGATTTTATCAGCGATCGGACTGTTTTCATATTTTTTAACCGTTGAAGGAAATTCGTAAAAAGAGTGAATATGTTAAACCAAGCTGTAGTCGAAGCTCTATATTCCGCAACGTACATCGAGAATTATTTGGACTGTGTGGAAAATTTACCAAACGACTTACAAAGACACGTTTCCCGGCTCCGAGAACTTGATGCCACTTGTCAAAGTAATTAACGTTACGAAACATTAAAATAAATTTCTATACATTGTTGGAATAAACAGCGAATATAAATTGGAAACAGATTTTATGTTTTAAAGTGTTATGCTGTTATTGAGTAACTTAATACTGATATGTATGATTTATATTGCTTATGGGAACTTACAAATTACCTTTACTTTCTTAATTCCATATAGCATACCTACGTGAGGTGGATCAACAACAAGAAGCATTGAGAAATGACACAGACATGACAGTTAGAAGAAGAGCACTTTTAAGAGTTCAACAAGCATTGATTGCTGCCCAAGAAATAGGTGATGAAAAATTGCAAATTGTTCAGCAAGTTCAAGATCTCATAGAAAACAAATCCAGGCAATTGGACTTGGATTATCGTAATCTTGGTATGTTCCTTTGTTTGTATTAATTTTATGGGTGTTTAAAACATTATAATATTTTCTCTATGTTTGAACTCCTTACAGATTTTGGAAAAGAACAAGAGAGTAGCGAATCCACTCGTGAAACAAATGCAAATATTAATTCAAACACTTCTGGCAATACAAATAATTCTGAAAGACAAACCAAAAGAGCTAGGAGGACAAGAACAGAGACATTAGTTGAGTCCTCTAATGCATTAGACATGATTGTGATGACAGAGACACGTTCTAACTCTCTGTCTAATACAAGCAATGGGAATCAAAAGAAAACAAGTACTACTACTACTGGTAAGAAGAAGAAAAGAAAGGCTAAACAAGGTAATCAGCAAAATCAACATCGTGAAGACACTCCACCACCCCCAGAAGATGATCTTGCGATAGATCCTGATGAACCAACGTATTGTCTGTGCGACCAAATATCATATGGGGAGATGATATTGTGTGATAATGATCTATGTCCTATAGAGTGGTTCCATTTTTCGTGTGTTTCCTTAAGTACTAAGCCAAAAGGTAAATGGTTCTGTCCAAAATGTAGAGGAGATCGACCAAATGTTATGAAGCCCAAAGCACAATTTTTAAAAGAATTAGAAAGGTATAATAAGGAGAAAGAAGAGAAATCGTAGCAGGAGAAGTTGGTGAGAAATTTAAACTTTGGAAGACTTAATTAAAACGAAAGAAATCTTTTAAAACGTACTTTGTACATTTAAGTAAAATTTTTAAGATTCCATTAAATACACTGTTTGACTTGTGACAACCAATGAAAAATTTAATAGAAGTTTCATGAAACACTGAATGAAATTGATTCATTGTTAAATGTGTTATTGTATAGATATGCGTGTGAACTATCATCTAATCAACTATAATTTAAGATAAATTATATTTGTATAATATTCACTACTGTAAATATTGTGACAAGAAAATATTAAATGGTAACTATGAAATAGGTTATCTTGCTGATGTATGTTTCAAAATTTGTTTTCTATTTGTTACTTAAAAAAAAAAAATGCTGGTCTATATATTTTGAGCAATAATGTATCATGAATATATGCCTGTCACAATTTAAATAGCATAGCAGTATTAAACAAAAAATGGAAGTAATTTTTTTGTAATATAAATTGTTATAAATAAATTAGTTTAATAATTTCTTTATATGATTTTATTGCATAATTATCATCATATATGTTAAGTAACATTGGTAAAATTTGATTGTATTATTTATAAAATGTATAGTTGTATAGGAAATATTGTTACAGATTACTACCAGTGATTATCATGTATTTGATATAACATATACATGTACAAAAGAAAATGATTGAATCTCTAAACAACACTCGTATGTCCAATTTCGTTTTATGTACCTTTTCTGTTAGAATGAAAATATTTGTTGTATATAAAAATAATGTATTTTTAAAATACAAATTCTGCTTAGTATGTAATGTACACGTTTAACAAGCTATCATTTTTCGTAATTGAGTATGAACATAAGTAGCAAAACAAATTGTTTTATAAAATCAATTTGTCTCTTGCATAATTATACAAACTTTTTTTTATGAAACATGTTTATAAAAAATAAATTTAACGTTTCCATTACACTTACTGATTTTTATTACGGTAATCATTTTTACTCTTTTTATCCTTCCTTTCTGATAGGTTAACAAGCTATAATGAAAGGATACTAATTAGTATATACTGTTACTACTGTGGTTTCAGCTTTATTAGCAAGTTACAAATATTTAATAGTTATCCTTTCACAAAGTTAATTACTGTATTTAATTGTATGTATTATATTATTTATACACTGACGTATTTACCTTCTGTGTTCAAGAAAAAGCAAACTATTTTTCGATCTGTTTTCGTAGAATTATAAGTAGGCGGTGTTTCGTTAATATTTGAGTTTTTAACGGTTTAAAAATTATTTCGTAAAGGCCCTCTTACATTTAAATACAGCTGTTAGTTATAATGTAAATTAATGTTGCAAAGAGGAATTTATACGTATATTTTTTTATTTTTTGAATTTTGCTGTGTATGCGCCTAAATTCTAATTATAATGAGCAAAATCATACACATTTTACATATACTTATAGGTAATGATCACATATGTAAGTTCACAGTGCGATTTCGCATCACTCCAGTGCTCTACATTTTTACGTATCTGAAACACATTCGAAAGAAAATAAATCTTTTTTATTTATAAGTAATTAAATTAGCATCAATGGCTAGTTAGTATAGAAGTGATTTTTTGTAGAACAATGGAGGATTTGATGTATAGCTTTTACGGCACGGGAGAAAGTATTTCACGCCAAATTTATAGAAACGATACCGGAAACTGTACCCAAAGGAATCGTATGAAATTATTGAATGAATCATACTTAATGTCAGCGGGGATCTTCTGTGTAACTTTCTTGAAAGTTCAACCAAGACTGTTCAACAACAGTAGCTACTCTCTTCTCATATTCTCGTTTATTTTCTTGATATAATTGTGCCGCTAAAGAATTGGCTGGAGAGTTTGGATTTGGTTCATCCAAAAGGGACTGCAACAAATATTTTATAAAATTTAAGTACCTACAACATACAAATATCGCTGTGATATAACATAGGCTTCTTCTAACTGTAAATATCATAAAAGGTTAAAGAAAACCATTAAACTATAAAGTGAAATTATGCATTTATTATGTGTATGTATATATACATACATATATATATATATTTATTTATATATGCATATATGTATATATGTAATATGTATAAGTGAATTTACGTACTATATGAAGTACTAAAATTTTAATTGAAATATAATTCTGTGCTTGGAAAAAGCAATGCTTCATAGCACAGGAACAAAAGCGCCAAGTATTAATTATCCTCTAATGTTTAATATTACTAATTTCGTGTTATCGAATATCGAAATAAATAAATACACAATTTTATAATAATTTATTATTCAACATTGTAAAAATTCGGTCTAATGTTGCACATCGTGGTAGTTCAATAGAGCTTTAGGAAGAAACATGCTAATGTTTAGCGTTAGCTCCTTGGTAAGGCTGCACGTTCTCCACTGTATCTGATGGCTGTAGGTGGCTGATTGATGCTGCGACAGCACCGTGAAAACGCCTGCGACTAATCCACAAAACTCTGCTCCACGCAAGCCTTCACTCGCTTCTCGTACTCGCGTCGGTTCTCTTTGTACAGTTGTGCTGCCATAGAGTTGGCAGGTGAATTCGGGTTCGGGTCACTTAACAGCGACTGCAACCACATAAGTCGTACTCATTACACAATGTTTTCAATTACTTTTTCTTATGATGCATGGCCGTAATTGTAAGTAGATGATATTTTTTACTTGGTATTGGTGATTAGAAATACATTTGTGATCAGGTAAACAAATTACAAGCACAATTGTACACTAACATTATATATGCAAATAATTTTGGATTTAATGAACTAGACTTTGCTGAATTGCAACCGCTGTTAAGACAAAAACTTATGAATTTTTATGGTTTTTACAAGAAACACGAGAAAACAAAGAATTCCCCGTAAAACAACAAAATAATTAAGCATACTCTATTTCAATGATGTGCATAATAATGTATACATTTGATTAGTTATTTTTTTATTTTAGATTAAGTAACTGCCATGCAAAACATATTTGCAGTTTTTATACGAGAAAATAATATTGTATTACAGGATTAAAAATAATACAAGAAAAAATTGTAATCGTGTCTTATTTATTATTAGTATATTTTAAATTAATTTTTTAAAGAGATACCGATCATATATTCCCTTATACTTACTGTTACAAACTGAATGAATCATCAGTTTGTAAGAAATTCAATGCGTAATATGTAATTATGAAATACATGCAAAAATGAGGACTTTACATAAAAACAATCAAAATAAAAAACAAACAAATAAAAATTTGGATAAACAAGTACTTTTAACACATTGAACTATAAAGTAAAGTGGATTAATGAGCATTTGGTGTACCTGTATGGATGTTAGAATAGCAGAGACATCGTAAGTAGGGCTCCAACGATTCTGTAGTATGTCAAGACAAATGCCTCCATCAGCATACACATTAGGGTGAAACATCTTACTAACAAATCTCACTGTAGGTGGTTTATTTGGATATTCTTCTGTAAATTCTATTGTAAGTTTGAAGGTACCATCTTCGAATGGAGTGTCATGTGGTCTAAAAGAATAATTGATTTTGGCTTTAATGTAAAAAAATATTCAAGTGAAAGTAATTGTAAGTAATTATTACATTTGTTTTATCTTACCCGAATATAACTGCATTCCATATCAAAATATTATTGTCTGTTGGTGCTCCTGATACTCCAGTGGGTGGGTCTTCCTGTAATCTATTCACAAAAAATTTTCATTATGAACCATCAAAACATACGAATGTGTTTGATGGATACAATTTGTAATATGGAATATTTTCTAAACAACTTTCATAAAATCTTTTGATTTATCAAAGAGATTGCTTTGTGTAAATATATATTTAGCTTTCTTACGAATCTCAATGTCACATCAATGTCTTTTGATATAAAACATGTTTTAATGATGTTCTATACATACATCAACAGCAAGTCTGAATGTTTTTATGCATCTTATCACTCGTTATATATACTACAAGACAAAGCAACCAAAGCAAAAAGTAATAAGAATTACATATAAATACGACTATACGATAAATTACTTGATAATTAACAATATTAAATGGTATTAGTTCAGCTAGATATCATTGTTTTTTTTTTGTATTGATTATATATACAACAATTTACTTGGAAAAAAAATAAAAGTAAACACACCAGCAATGCATACTGTTTTTCTAAAACGAGTACTTATTCAACTGAAGAGAGGTTACTACAGGTCAATCTAATATTTATGAGAATCAATAGGGAGAAGTCATAATATAAACAAAACGATTCTCGATCACAATCCGTCCGCGATTTCCTCAACATTTCCGAAATCGCGACGAAAAATGCCTCGCGAATTCGTCAACGAACCATCGAAAGGTTTGGATGGGAATACAAATGAAACGCAGTAAACGATTACAGATTCCTAATAATAACTTCTTCATGAGACGGGTCACAATGACGTTCGAGCATCGTATAAACCTTCCTATACGATTCTCGTCCCGTTAAACGGTTCTGGCCGCGTAGAAAGGTTACAAGCGAGCGAAATTGTGAATACAAAATACCATTTATAATGGCGGTACACGATACGCAAAAGTCATGACATAAGAATCTTAAGATGCACGATACCTCTTAAAATCTCTCATTAGTCTCCTTCTTGCGGGGGTAGACATCCCTCACGAATGGGCTTGTCGCTCCCAAATCGTTGATACGGATAGTTCTAGAACGTTTACGATGTCGTCCACACCTTACGTTAATGCTATACTTCAATAAAAGTAATCACAGCTCCGACACAACGGTTAGCTTCGACGACCTCGTCACATATACGAGAACGCCAGTTGTTTCTGCTGCGTACGTCTTTGCCTTTTGTCAGTCCGAAGGCCACCCTATCTGTACAATACCGTTATAGGTTGTTCAAAATTAGTTCTGCCCAACAGGTTTTCGATTGGCACTCGATCGTCTATCGATATTTTGACACCTTGAATTTTCACCGTCGCTCGTGGAAAAGGCCACCAGCATAAACCCTACGTAACGATCACCCTGTGAAATTCGTTCACCGGACTGCCAAACCACAGACAGCTGGATAGATATACGGAGGGGATAAAGAATGAACTGTTTTGCGCATGACGTCACAAACTAAAATTGGACAACCCAGCCAATAGTTCGAAACCCTGAATTCGTTGTTCGATTTAAATTGATTGTCGCGATCTTTAGAAAGGTAGGCAAAGAGAACGAACGATGTACAGACATACGACGAAATGTGTTTGTTAATCTTTTTTATAGTTATTGTGGTACTATATGGACATCTATAGTTTATCCAGCGCAGAGAAGTTTGAGTAAATAAAACCACGTGACTGCTACGGAATCGCATTGGCCCATTGTCACTAGTTAGAAATGTATCGTAGATCGACTTATCGTGGGTCGGTACATGTATTTTTATTTCTATTACTTTGTTTGATACCTTTATATATTCTCATTTAGGGACTCTTTTACTACAACGCTGTGATTATTATTATAAATCAAAGCTAGAAAACTTTTTGTAGTAACAATTCGAATCTGTCTAGACCCTTGTATTAGAAACTATTTTAGGGATTCTCTAGTTGAGAAACGAGAGCTGTTATTGGATGGAATGGGTGTATCCAGAAAGGTCACCGTTCGCTAAGCCACTCTATAGCGAGTTTAGAATAAGTAGCGCCATCGGTGGCAAAACGCCCAAGTTTGTAGTAGAAAATAGTTCCCACCGCCCCTGTAAGACAACGCCACCAATGCTTTTGCTCAATTATTCTTTATTTTTCGTAAATTCATAGTTAATACGATTCTTTGATTCATAACGCTACAATATATTAGTTTTTAGGTCAAATCTATCATTTTTATAAATAGTTATTTAATGCAGCAATAGGTAATAAACCCTTTAGTTAGTAGCGTCATCAAGCAGCAACAGTGGGAACTAGTTTTTACTACAAATTTGGCCGTTTGCCCACCGATGGCGCCACTAAAATTAAAACCTGCTCACAGAGCGGCTTACTGAGCGGCGGCCTTTGCGAAGGCATCCACTACGGAAGTGTGGACTCCAAATTACGAATTAGGAATATTCGTATAATTCACGAAAGATGGAAACGAATAATCAGATTCGTTTTTCATTCAATCAGAAAATTTCATAATGTAGCCTGTATTGTACGCATTACGAGTAAATTATAAGGACAAAAGATGATTTTTTTTACGTAATATTTGCTTATACATGAAGCATTCCAAAATCGATAATGGAACAGGATACTATTAAAAGCGCACGCGTGAACTGTGATACTGATGCTTGTCAGCTGTCCACCGCTGAATACAACGTTGTATTGAGAATTGAAGTATTCTTTGTCCTACTACGAAGTCTTCCAATGAAGAAATATAGTTTTAATCAGACTTAATGGCTTGTGATAATCGGACGAAAGTATACTTGGGATACGAAGATGAATACGTTACTGATAAGCACCGGTCCAGTATCAATTTTATGACAAATAAGATCGGCGGATTTCCAGTAAGTGGTTGTTTTACATTTAAAGCCAATCAAATCGAACGCGTGGCAAATTTGAAATTGTAACTAAATTCTTCAAAAAATGATACATCACTTTTTAACTTAATCATGCCAAGTATTTCACATTTGTAACGTTATAACTATTAGGTCTACTATAGCGTAGACCTAATTAAGTATATCATTATTGTTCGTAGAACTGTCACGAGAAAACTACATTGTCGTTACCGCAATGTAGATTATGTGGATTACATCAGCTCCTGGCACTTCAGCTGTATGTTCCATTAGATAATTCTAAGTATCATCGAACGCTTTATATTTTCGCATGTATAAATCCAAACTGCTGGAATCAAAATGAAAGTTGGACTTGTATAAGGGTGCAAGTGTTAGAAGACGAATGTAAAACAAATGCTTTAGACAGTAGCAGTGTAAATGTGCCATCAACAACGTCATGGTTATCGGATGCTGATGATTGGGGTGATAATTTAAATGACAATTCTGAAAAAAATGGGAATAATTTATTGAGCAACAATGCTATAAAATTGAATTTTTCCCTGAGAAGAGAAATAGATGAAAATATCAGGGAAGAATTATCTGTACTACATGTTGATGATCCTAATGCAAATAGGTAGGTGCCTGTTGTTTTTTTAATTCACTCAGAAATGTATGCAGTCACTGTTTAAATGTAATCTATTTTAGTCCAGCAAGTGTAGAATCTCCAGTTGGAATAGGTGCTGTAGGTAGATTAGATTCACCTCAGGCATCCGCTGAAATTGATGGAGAAGAAAGTGAAGTTGTCTGCATCGATACTCCAACACAGCCTCAATGTGATTTAATTAGTTTGTTGCATGATGTAACTCCCTTTCCTATTCAATTGGAATCAAATACAGAAACCAAATTTTCATTTGTTGAAATATTCCTTTCTGTGGAAGAAGAAGATCGTGGTACAGATGTACCACAACATGTTTGTGATTTACTCCTTGAATACCAATACAGGAATCCAGATTTATCTACAAAATCTGTAGCAGACTTGGACGAAAGCAAGACTACAGAAACAGCTACAGAGAAATATGAAAAGAGCATTCCTATGCATGGAGATGAAATGTTTCACAACTTTGTTTCTCAAATACAAAAGAATCCTGGTCAGCTTTTGCGGTAAGGAATCATTTTACATGTCATGTATATTATTGCAATATTTTTAAATTTATAGTTCATTTTATATTTCAGATATTCACGAGACAATTCTATGCCATTATTATTGTATCCTATTAGTGGATGTGTCGGAAGATGTCGACATTGCGGCAGTGAAATGACATTCGAACTTCAAATTTTACCTACATTAATTTCGAAATTAATACTTCAACCACGAACTGAAAAGAATTTCCAAATTGAATTTGGTACTGTTTTAGTTTATACTTGTGCCAGAAGTTGTTGGTCCGCGACAGATTTATACAGGGAAGAGCACGTTATTGTTCAAGCAGAGAGGTTATAGTGATAGTACAATTGAAATAAATTTAATAGAATTTTAAACTTTCGATATTAGAGAAATTGTAGTTACATCGTTTTGGTTGCAAAATACCGTCCATCCTTCTGCATATACATTAGAATTCCTGATAATGAATGATGCATAAAAATAAAGTTTTAATTCCAGGTGCAAATTCATTCCATATACCTTTTTAAAGATTATACTAGGACAGTTGTGAAAGTTATTTTATTTTTATGTAGTTTAAGAAAAACTGTACATTGCTATTCATACATAAATACAGAAACTTTAATGGAAATATGTTTACTTATTCTATAATTTATTGTATTTATTTATACAGCATTATATCAACAAAATTCGTTTATGTATATATATATGTGTATGTATGTTTCAACTATGAAAGCTGATTTATAAATAGTAATGTAAAATTAAAATGCAATGAAATCTCTGCATTGTATTGGTTAATCATTTAAAGAGTCCTACTTAAAGGATGTTCCAACGGATATTGACGTTGTTGGTATGCCGTATCACTCATATTTACACGAACGTAATCTGCATTCAATGATTCTCCTTCTTCAATTTCTTTTTTAATAGTAGTCATATTTTTTATCAAACCATATGACAAACACACTGTCATACTTTTTTCAATATCTCCATTTCGAAGACCGATATTATATGATCTTGATGAACGTGATAAATTAGCAATTCCTGCATATATCTCTGTCAACATTTCAGTGACTCTGATGAGTTCTATTTGGTGCTTTACAATATCTGCTCCATGGTGCTCAAGTAGTGTTCGAGTAACTTGATTAAATGATTTAATAGCTTCTTCAAGAAAATAACCAGCTAATTTCAATGATGGATGAACATTGGCTTTAATTTCTATCTTAGATGCAGATAAGTTTAAGAAATCTGATATAATAGCAAAAATAGGGAATTTAGTAGCATTTCGCTTTTTATATATATGGTTATGCACAAATTGTCCCAAATGTTTGAAGAGACTTGTAGCTACATATACACTTGCATCCACATTGTTTGAATCCATTGTTGTTAAAGCTAAGGCATCATGAAATGATTGTATATAAAAACTGTTGTTTAGGTAACTCTGTGCACCCACCAATTGTAATCCTAATTGAATGCTTTTCAAACATTGATTTGCACAATATGTTTCAGTAATGATTCTTTCAAGTTGAACATCTGCATTTTCATATGCATCTGCTAATCCACTTGTGAGATATGCCATACTTTCCATAGTATACAAAGAAAAGATTGAATCAGATATTACTTTTCTTACAGCACCAAACTCATGGTAATTTCTATCAAAGTGCTCTAGTTCTGTGACATCTGTTGTTAATTTGTTTATGAAATTTCGTAAAATACTAATAGCCTGCGCAGATATATTTTGTCTTCCAGGTGTTAACAAGTCTAACATCAGGTCAAGTGCTTTGCCGGGTTCACCAATTACATTTTTATTAGGTATCAATGTATTTTCAAATGCTATTGTACATGTGGGTATATCATGACGTCCAATTGTTTCATATACTTCAGTACAAGTTACACCTCCAAATTTTTTTTCAACCAGAAACAGAGATATTGATTCTCGGCTATAAATATTTCCTGTTAGACTATGTGCAAAGACGAAGAAAAGATTGGCATTCGTTCCATTAACAACAAATGATTTTTTACCACTTAATGACCAAGAATTTTCTTTGGTTGGCACAGCTTCACATTTCATATTATTAATATTTGTCATATTATTATCTTCTTTAATACATACTGTAGGAATAATTTCACCACTCATAATTTTTGGTAAATATTCAAGTTTCTGGCTGACTGAGCCATACTTTGAAATTATTTGTATGGGTATGATGTGATTTTTTACTATATAGGTACCCAACCATGGTATCGTACTAAGTGTTTCTATAAGTTTTAACGATTCTGTTTCCAACAGATTTAAACCACCGTTTTCTTCGTCAACGTAAGCTCGAAATACCTCGAGATCCCTGAGGTATCCCAGAAGGTTTTCTTTATCCAACTTTTTATTTGGGTCAGTACAACTTGAAATATAATCTTCAATTGGCTTCAACCAGTTAAAAAATTCTTTATATCTATAAAAAGGTTGCGTTTCAGGATAACTGAGAATACTTTGATCAAACTTTCCTAAGATTAAACTCTTCAGAAATTGTTCTTTTTCCGGCTTTTT